GCGCTTACCATTGTTTCAGTGGTGTGTCTTGTTGCCTTCTTGTTTTATAAACATGAATACGAAAGGCTGAGATACACCCTTGAATACCTCGACACCTTTGGTGAACCTCCCTCCAAATTAGAAGCAGCAAGACCTCAATGTGGCTACAACACTCACCACAAGATTGCAACGCCTCCTGCTGACTGGGTTCAAGTCACCTTTGACCTTGAGGTTTATTCATCTTACTGGGATGACTCAAATGGCTTGGGCGAGCCACAGATCCGAACAGTGGGAGCTGTACGCAAGACCTCAGCTACTCCTTCAGATCTTGGGTGTTTGGTATGGTTTGAGTCCGAGAGTGAGCCAGTGCCAGGATCTTGCAGTGTAGAACCAGTGTCAGAGAGAGAGCATGGCCACAGCACACATAAGGAAGATATAGAGGTCTTGTATTTACTGTGCACAGCCCATAACAAGAAGCTTATGTTAAGCAAAACTCCATACATGATTCAGTTTACTGTAGGTAATTCTGAAGTATCAAAGCCAGTCTTCATACATGAGAGTGAGAGCTCAAAGAGTGTTATCAATAAATCTGCAGTCTGTATTCTTCCAGTGGAGGGTCCAGTAACTACTTTGAAGATAATTGAATTTATAGCCTTTTATAACATTATTGGCATTGATAGGTTTTCAATTTATGGTCCAGTTCTCACACCTCTTGCTAGAAAACTCTTAGACAAATACAGTGACGAGGTTGGTATCGAATTTGAAGAAAAACTTTTTAGCTCTTCTCATAGTTTCAAACTTGAAAAGGCAGTTGTCAAAAAGATAGTTGAATTAGATTGTCTCTACCGTCATCGTGACACACATGAGAATGTCTTGATTCTAGACTTGGATCAGTATCTTATACTGAAGCACAAAGCTACACTGCAAGAAACTTTAATGGTATTGGTGGGCAGTAATCGACGCTCAAGAGAAGTAGCAGAGTTCCATTTTTCAAGCCAAGAAGTTTGCCTCGATCAAGATCACTTAAAGAGGGGCACTTTACTATTGTCACAGCAAATCCATAAGGTAGGCTCTGCTAAGGAAATGGGTGTAGCAGTTCTTCGTCCACATCTAGTGACGGCTTCCCTGCTGGGTAGATTAGGAGAGGCACCCAAGAGTCAGCATGTGTCCTTAGCAACTGCATTTGTACATCAGTACTCTGTTTGCTCGTCTACGGACAATCATGATGACCAGCAGCATCTTCCTACTACAAAATGGATTTTAGATAAATTAGAGAAGTCCCTCTTATACAGAAAATGGGGGATAAATCGCTGAGCATTTAACAGCTAGATTCAATGTATGTGTGATAAACCATAGGTTTGTATAGGACTAACCTTATTTCTGGGTCAAGTCTGGCAAGATTATTCTGAAGGATGTTGGAATTTTATAGATTCGCTACTATTAGTAAAACTAGTTAAAGCAAAAGATTTTCCCTCAATGAATTAAATACTACCAGCAACATTCCACTTGTGAAGGGATAAGTATTTGAAAAGCTGGGATACTTCTTAGATGGTTGAGGTACAAGATAATTTGATGACTTTAATTTCAGTATTCTTTTCCATTGCATCTTTTTATACGGTAAAAGGTAATGTTATTAGAAACAGTAATCTCAATTGTAATATAAAAAGAATTCAGGCTCAAATGGTTGTAGTAAGTATTGAGTAGACAAATGTTTATTAATCTTTTTTTAATGGTGTGGATCTCAAATATGTGTATATTGGTGAGCATGTATCCAATTCTGAGGAGACTTTGTACATGACAAGGGTAAATAGAACAGTAAACTAATGCATTTATAAACTTAAGAGTGCAATGCTGAATGGGGCTATTTTGTAAGCAGACATTCTGAATATCGCCAAATGGGAACATTATCATACTATATGTAATCCTTAGGTTTAGTTTACATATTTGGAACATTTAGTATTAGCATGTCCAGATGACGCACTGTTAGGAGGGTTACATTTTAGGTCCAGTGTGTTCCTGAATCATTAACACAAGAATATTGTGTTATCATATTCATTTGGAGATTACAAGTTCCTATATTGACTGATTGTGTGTCACCATTCAAATTAAATTGACTGATCTGATTTCTTTTCCCATTAGTAATCACTTGTATAGTTTTTGTTTGTTTCCCTAACTATATTTATACTGACTGAAAGTTGCATGTAAATGCATTTTGTGATAAGCTTCCCATCCCTGTGATTCAACATTTCAAATTTTTATGTAATATTACTAGAAATCTCCTTTGTTGCTGTTGAGTAAAAGACTTGAGTTAATGTTTATATAGAGCAGGCACCATGTCATTGATTGCCTGGAAATTAGGATATGATATTTAGATGTACTACAAGGTTTTTGTAGGAAAGGATAATGATATTTAAATAAAAAATGATTAGTTATATATTTTGTTTCATGTAAAAAATATACAATGATTTCTGTGCTAACCTCAATACATCTTCAAAGGAATTAAATTTGTACTCTTACAAGAAATTTTTAAAAAATCATTATTGCAACATAAGAACATTCAATATTATGAACTGCTGTGTATATCTCCTTCATTCACTCCCAAGCTGCTGAGTAAAGACTGATAGCCTTGTCTGGAAAAAAGAAAACACATAAAACACATAAAATACATAAAATACAGGTCTTATGAATGACCATAATTTCACAATGGAAACTACAGCTCATTTTTAGAATGAACATGATCATGGAGTAACAATCAAAATATCAGTTATGTATCTAATATTGCAAAATCATTAACTTTGCTCAAAGAAAAGGGAAATCAACATAAGTTGTTGTGAAGTCTATTTGTTTGTTACAAAAGAGGTTTTAAAATATGGAAAACACTTTTTCCTGTACTTCCTTTCTTTCCTTCTTTGTTTTAATTTGTTTACTATTCACCACTGATTTTTTCTTCTTCTCCCAATCTCATGAGTAAGTATGAATTATTGCATTAACTAATTGTGAACATTTTCACTCCAGAACCAAACTATTTGATAAGTGAAAGTAAACATTCCACCAACAATAATTGGGGGGGGAGGGGGAAATATAAATAAAATATGCAACAACACTACCAGTCATAAATCCTGTATACAAGTTCAACAGTATCATATGAACAAACCTAAGTGTGTGATCTAGTCCAGTTCCTCGTTTCTCTTCTGTGGCTGTGACTGCTCTTGCAATGTGAGGCAGTGAATCCACTAAGAGCGGTCTGTGTAGAACTCCCACTACACCCAACACGCGGAAGAGCCTACTAGATGACCAGGAAACATGTTGGAAAACCAGCTGTCGAATGCTCTTTACTAGTTCATTCCTGAAAGGTTAAGTCCTGATTAAATGTACTGTTGTGTGTGAAAAGAAAATGAAGGAGCACAACCTGGTATGAATTTTGCCAAGAGTCATACTAAGTGGCTGTTGCCAGGATCATCCTCCATGTATAGAACAGCAAAGCCATGTTTCCTTCTCATTGTAGCTGTTTGATGGTATTAATATGATACTTAATTTTAGTTGAATGGCCAAAAAGAAAATTGAGAACTTCAGATCACCAGCACAGAAAAGTTTGATTAATGATTAATAATAAAAAACATTTTGACCATGGAAGCCTGATGGACACATACCGTGAGGGAACGTCCTGTTCCTGAGCTCCCTGTAACAGCTTCTGGAGGAGGTCTGTTGCAATTCTCTTAGTGGTTTGATCTTCAAGATTGAGGAGAAGCTCCAGGAGAGGGAACAAGAGGTAGGTGCACACACTCTCCTGCCATTCCATAGCACTCCTGGACATCAATTCTAGCACTAATGATATGACCTGAGAATAATGTACATGTTATCTTTTTTTGTCCCCAGTAAATGCAAAGCAGAGCCTAGTTAGTTCAGAGTGACAATTAAGCTAATCATTCTACAGAGAGAGATGGTTATTACTATCAATATTATATATTGTATAACAAAAGCTGCACTATCTGTAAGAAATTTGAAACGCTAACATTACCGTCAATAAAATAATAATAATAATGTGAGCACATGAGCCTTGACCTACAGGTTCTACAGGTTGTTGATTCCCTATGTGTTAGGGATGATTAGGGTCCTAAACACCTGCAGCCCCAGAGAAGCTTGAACTCCCAAACACTAAACTGAAATCAGACACCCAAGCCCACTGAGCAGTATTATACCCTGTGTAATACATACCACCTGCAAATGAAGATTGCTGATGCCTCGTTTCCCAAAGTAACTGTCTCGTACGACTTCCAGAAAGACCTGACGTAATTCTTGGATGACTTCCTCCCTTACATCAGCGTCATGGAGACACATCTGGAGGAAAACACTCCATTTGTATATCAAATTTTAAATAGATGAGGAGGACTATTATGAACAAATGAAGGTCATCAGTCTTCAATCATGTTGCCATTGCAATGAAAATAAATGCTGTATAAATTGTATTATCTGGACTTTATTACTCATTTACTATACATGCTAATAATAATTAATAAATAATAATAATAATAATAATAATAATAATAATAATAATAATATATAATAATAATAATAATAATATTAATGATGATGATGATGATGGTGATGACGATGACAATGACTGATGATGATTGATGACAATGATAAGAAAAGGAGAAGAAAAAAAAGTAAGCAAAAAACATTATACTACAATGGCCTGTTTATCCTACACATACACATTAGCAAAAATAACCATAATACTTACGATGAAAGGGTGCGTTACTGTCGTATAATTTTTTGTGGTTTTCACAGGGAACCTATACATGTAATGATTGAACACGTCCCTCACACAACGCACCAGGTAAGGATCTTGAGCTAAGCCTAGCGATCCCAGACCACACACCATCTGAAATGGACATACAGAAAAATAACTTAATTATTGTCTTTAACCAACTGAACCCCAAACAGGGGAGTCTCAGTAATAAAACCCAACCAAAGTTAATAACATTTTCTAAAACCAGATGATCACAAACAATTGATATTTGCACAAGGACATTTTTACTTTATATTCATGAAAAAGCATAATTCATATATACTGCAAATTTAAATTTTCTTCTATAACCTTTGATATGAATCAAGAGGAAATTAAAGCATTTAAGAATATAGACAACCATCATAATGATTTTCATCACCACTTTCCAATGCTTCAATCCAAACTGGATGCCAAAAATCTTACTTTAGGTATAGTGCTGCCCAGTGCTGTAGACAACGATGCATTGAGTGGTTTCTCACAGCTGTAAATTGTCGTGGGCAACAGAACAGAACTAACAAGTACAGGTAATGGACACGTGGGTCTCGACTGCAAAAGAAAGAAGAATAACCCTTACACTTCTGTGTAATCTAAAAACTAAAGTACTATGAAGAGAACATTGAATTATGTTTTAATAATAATCTAGTGTGAAAATTGCATTAAATAATTTCTACACATTGATCAAGTCACCAACTCCGGAAATTAGGATGACATTCACGTCTAATCTGAGTTAGAAATGTATCAGAACATTCCCAGAAATGACAAGGAGGAAGAAATATCTGTAGGAAGTTTCACAGAAAATTTCAAGACCTGATTGTTAATGGCTAGAGCCTTCAGAGTTGAAATAATTGAAGAACAATTACAATAATTCAGGTTGCTTGAACGGAAAAAAAACTTGTTGATCATTATTAAAATACCTATGTTCTTTAATAAAAAACATATGCTTTATAACATTCCACATAAGACTATATACTTTATAGTATTCCACATAAGACTACAATGGATCCAGTTCCATACCTTAATATAAATAACCGAATGTCCATAAAAGAAAAGATCTGCAATTAATTCCAGCACATCTCGCAGGTGATTTGGCAGGGGGGTTTTCTTGAGTAAAGCGCTAATAGGTTTGTCTAAACCTGAAAAATACTGAAGAGCCCGTTCTCTGATGGCCATCCGATCCATGAATTTCTGGTAAAGGAAGATAAGCAAGTTTGAGGCTCAGGTCTTTGTACCCTCACTTGATTATGATTTGAAACATATGCATATTTAAAAACATAACATATAAAAAACAAATGCAATCCTTCATGCTTTAAAAAGTAATATCATTAATATGAAGTCTTTATTGATTCCTTATTTGCCTAAGATTATGAATGGGAAAACACTCTACTGTGATGATACAATAGTAGAAAAAAAAACATGATGCACAAACTAGATTTATTGAATAAATGAGACAACAGTTTGGAAATCCTTTTGGATTCCATCTTCAGACCTGAATTAATCTAGAAATTCCATTTCTTATATTTCTTCATTATAAAGTGTTCAAAATTTGACATATTAGATCTAGCTACATATACTATTCGAAGTCTCCTTCCTGTTGTTATCACTGAAACAAAAATGATATACAAGTTGTTCCTTATACCAACAAGAATGTATCTAGTAATTTTCAACATTACTAAAGGGTAATGAACTTGTATTTATAGAATTATAAACTTCAGAGATCTCTCCATAAAAACTTATGTACAAGGCGTGTCTAAAAAAAAAAAATAAAAAAAAAGATTCACGGCTAATTTTTACCTGCGATTCACTGAACTTCCTGCTGACACCTTTCACCAGAAGTCTGGCAGCAGCAAAAGGACAAGCGGGAGGAGAACAGCTGATAATGGATGCCACACCAGGCAAGGTCATTATGAGTGGAGTGAGTGATATTACTTCATCACTGTCCCCCATAGTCACTAAGGTTGTTAACCATCCTGATACTAGAAGGCCTTCGTAGCCCGTGTTAACTTTGTCTATTTGGGTGAGGCTGCCTGGCTCTGCGAGTAGACTTGTGATGTACTGCAGACTACAGCTGTGTAGATAAATAAAACAATTGAGATTTCAAGATGAAAGGAACAATATTACCAACAATCTAACTACAGGTTTTTTGAGACAGTATGATCTAAAATTAGTCTGAATGACACATTTGAAAAAAATTTAATGTAATTTCCAGGCTGTTGAGTAATACATCCATAAATAATAAAAATAAAAATGCATTAAAAAATTTACATAAAGACAGCTTGCACAAATGCAGCTAAAATATGGCTTTTCATACTTACGTAGTGCTTACAGCTTCATTTGTGACAAAGTATGAAAAGAGTCCAGAAGCAGCCTCTTTAAGCCCTGAAGTTGCAGAGTTAAAATCGTACGACATACAGAGAGTCAGTTTGGCTGCCACCGAGCCCAGAACAGCTGGTGGAGTGAGTGTGGTGGCATGATTTCTAAGGAAGACTCCAAATTCCTTCCAGACAACTTCAACAATATCGGTCCCTAGTCCACCTGAAAGGAAACCATTTTATTAAAAGGTGAAATTTCATTTAAGAATACAACTGTATCCTGAATACAGCATATCACTTTGCCTTTAAGACAGCACAAGTAATTAACCCT